AGCGAATCTCATATCGTCAAACTACATGACAAAACTTAGTAATGATGGCTTTTATTTGAAACGTGCACAAAGATGAAATATTTAGTCTGGAAATGAGGCAAAATTTGAGTTTATGAAACAGTTCTTAATTTCATTGACGAGTGATTGACATAAGATACCCGTAGCCTATAATCACTTATGTTTTACACAGGATTTATTCATGTTTACTATCAAGATTTGGAATATGCATGTGTTATTTTTTATACAGAACAATGTTTACTGGTCATTCGTATTATCTGTTGGGCTAGTGTCAATAATTTGGTTTCGTGAATAACTATCAGTATTATGGAACGACCAGCAATCTACTCATTAATTTCATAGCACATTGTTTACAAAATTAATAATGGTAAAGATTTAGCAACAATAATAATATCAACTTGATTCACTCTGGACGAAAAGCAGTTAATAATAGATTCTAGGTTGTAATGTGGTAACATCCTTAATTGAAACTCATCAATCCATCCATGCACGAAACAATAATTATGTCATATTTCAAATTAGCGTTGTAGCATAAAACAAACAGAATGTCTTAAAAATAGCATAATACACACAAAAACCCATTTTGCATACTAATTATCAGTATTCTGTATGATATAAACTCACCCACACACACGCATTTATATGGTATGCTTATTGCTAACCCAACCAATCAATGCACTTCAGTAGTTCGACACAATAATGTGAGTTGTAAGTTGCCGATGGGACAACTCGACTTATCGATTCAATATTATGCGAAAATCAAAACCACTTATGTCTATCGAATACTAAACTTTCACTCACATTCATATGAATACTAAATTACAGTTTAGGTGGGTCCATCATAAGCAACATAGAACCTGGAACGTTTGTGGATTAGTTAAATTTGCTACGCCATATGAGCATAATAAGATGAAATCGTCAATACAAATCCCAGAATAGTAGGAGATGTAACAATATCAATGGTAGTAAAAAAACTTGAGAACAGTAAACAAAGATTCAATAAGAAAGAAAAGGTATGTAGAACAAAAAGTTTAAGTTAATTTTAGAATCCAAGGCCTAAGGGGAGATAATGAATGAATGTATCTGCGTCATTATTTCTGAGCTGACAAAAGTCAACTAATTTTTAGTCAGACACAAACCCTCCAGGGCTGATGGGACTTCCATAATGAGTGAAAAATTCAGTGCATTCAACTGACTCACTCCCTATTATTAGTCCAAACACTGAAACGGATCAGTTCAGAAGCAACATTTACATTTGAACGGGGGCGCGACCCAAGCATGTTTGCATTATTGTTCAAAGCAATCAGAAGATTCTACATTCTGTTAGCTTTTTCACCAAAACCGAACAACGTCACCAGATTATTCTAAGTCAGTAATTGAAACTTCTGGAATGAGTTCAACCCATGAAAAGGTAGGTGAAAGAAGAGTGGTTTTTAGGAAGATAATGAAATTAAACAAAAAGACAGAGAGTGAGCAATCTTGACAAATACAACTTAAAGATGATAATTTAGATGACAGTTCACCATAAGTTCTGATTTGACCAATAGTGTTAGATTAGAGGAGCTTCACAATTTTCGAATAGTGTTTTGGTACACAGCTACTGCCATACAACATGTTGAAAAACTAAGACGAATGTTGCCTAAAGGTTGAGAAATACTATTATGGTTGGACGTCAGTAGGTATGTCTGAGTCCCGAAAACTGACAAAGGGTGAATATTTCGACAGTACATGCACTTTTGCGTCTGAAGCCGTCCTAATTTTCTAAGGTTTGTTGTTTAAGAGTCCTAGTTGTGCATCAGGTGATTATTAGTGTTAGTACTTTGGACACTGTATCAAACTCTTTTTGGTTATCACAAGAGTGTTTCCGTTCTTTTCATAAACTGAGATGACTAAGCATCAAAAGTAATATGCGCCACATGTAAATTGGGATACGAACCGGGCGTTCAAACCAAAGATAGTTTGCTTAGGTGGCAACTAGCCAGCCTTTGACCTAAATTTCTAATCCACTAAGTGGTGCATGAACGTTAATAAACGGTGTCCCATGGCAGCTGACGACCATAAATAGGTTCATATCCCACTTATCCTCTCGAAATCCTAGAGTCTATGCATATCATTATTTTGGAATCAAAGATGTATAATTTTCCTAGGTGGGATTCTCGTACCCACCAAACCATTCCAAGCACTGAACGTTGGCTTTTCGTTCTCTCAATTTCATAAACAACATGCCACTGAATGAAGGCAAAGAGTATAATTTTTTGGTAGAGGCTATGAACCCATGGCCATATGAGAGCATTTCAAGAGGGAAAGCATACTCTCCACACTCTCGGAAGTATCAGGGCATTTTGAGGCAAGTTATAAAAAGAACAGTGAGCAAAACAACTCAGAGAGTCAGGTAAAACCTGCTCCTTATCATGCGTATCAAGTGATAAAGAATTGAAAATCAAATCCATATCCAGTGACAAAATAAGATCTGAACAAATAAACACCCATAAACTAACAAATAGTTCTATTTACACAGAAAACAGGAAAATCATTCATCAACAAGTCATAAAGGCTGTTTAACACAGAGGAAACTACCGTGCAACATTTACATCTAAAGTTGGACAATTAATCACGTATACCACAAGATCAAACCAAAATATTTTTAGAAACTTTGTCATAACGTCAAAATTATAATCCAGCTTTTGCACCAGTTAGTGTTTTTTTATCTTCTTAAAACTGATTATTTTGATGGGACACTGGTAGTATATAATGCTGGCGAAATATCAGTAATAAGAAAATAATTCATTAGTGAAAACATTAAAACAATTTCGTATGTATGGAGTGGGGTTGTTATAGCCCAAAGCCGCCAATCAGAAGCAGCGAATTATCGATCGGACCAAGGACGCGTAAAAGACGCGCGAGCAGCCTTGAGTCCTGATTGGTCCGGCCTTCCGCCTAGCCCAGCCAGTTAAGTCCAGAACACCAGTCCCAGCCTCTACAATATGAATCCTTATATTCCAAACATACTGAGTTTATATACCAATCAAACAGACCACAACGTAGCATAAAATAGAAAATAACATTTGTACAAAATTTGGCCAAATGTGGCTCTGAATGAGGGAGGCAGTGTCTAACAGACAGGGCATAATTCAAGAATGGTAAAACGTATAATAATGGTTCATAGGTCAAAATAAAGTTTATAATAAGAGGAATATGAATATGAATAGTCTAGTTATTTAACAATTGTACGATAAAAATATACGTTTGGGATTGGTCCATAAAAGGATCCCGAAGTTACCATTCATTATGTTTATCGGGACCTAACAGGGGTCAGTCAGTCAGTTACAACGTAGAACCAGGCACATATATTCATCGGTCCAAGTTGCCATACATCATTAGCACAACAAGATGAACACCAAATTCATAAAGTAGTTACTTCAATGGTAGTCATATATATAAGAGGTTGCATATAAGTATATAGTCTTTAAACATTCATTCATCATGCTCTCTAAAGCGTTCAAACCAAAGTGTAATATCAACGTATAACATTTTAAATCAGTTGTCTAAAAAGTATGAGTGTTGAAAGATATTTTATTTGTTGTTCATGAGATATCAGGAACCAGTGGTAAAAGAATTCATGCCAAAACATTTAAATTCGATAAGCACAACATAAATGGATTAATTTTTAAGTTTGTTATTATCATATTACGAAAAGGCTTTCTTATATTACTTTTAATTTGCTATACCTCATTTAGTTATATGCTAAAGCTCGAAAGTAAATACTACTGAACCCAATTTCCAGTTCTTGCCATTATTATTAATCGAAAAGCAGATAAAACTATTGTAACACGTTATCACAAGTATATCGGTTCTTATATATACCAGATTATGATTATTATATAATGAAAACATGAATTTCATACAATATGAACATGAAATGTAACAACAACAATATTACAAAAGAGTGAAAAAAAATGTAGGTGCGTATAAATGATCAGAAAGAGTGAAATAATCGCAATTGAAGAGAAAAAAAATTAAGAAACTTATTACGTCTCAGTTATATATATTTATTCAAGTAGTATAGGAAGAAACACTCAGCGATGATTTCAATTATGAACCACATTTAATGTTTGTACACTAGAGAATCTTGTCGTCTCTAATTCGGTATAGTTTTAAATAAAATTCAACATACGGAATGACGTTTAACGTTTAACTTTGTACAGGTGATATCAAGAGAGGAGAACAGGGTAAACAGTGACAACTGTTAAATTGTATACACTAAATACATTTTTTTTAACTGATCAATTAACTATGCACAGCAATATTACTTACATGCTATGCTGAATGTTGAGTTATCTTTATTGATGGAAACAAATAAAAACCCAGTATATACTTTAAAAATAGTTATCAGTTTCTAACTTTTGAATTAGTAAGAACTTTTAGAGATAAAATAATTGCTCACGATATGTAAAAATAAAATAAAAATTATTTAATCAAGGCCTCAACATCCGAAGAATCATATTTTCCTTCAATAATGGTTTATAATAACAACTTATAAACGGGAGTTCTCGATATCCAAATATTATTTATACATAAAAGGATGTCATAAGATATAAAATTGACCTGTAGGCTATAAAACAGAAGCATCTTCAGTAAGGCGTGAACATTCAATCAAAAACGAATTGTCCACTCTTTTCGAGAATCCGTAAGTCAAATAAGACTACTGTAGATTAAAATGTAGATAGCAGTGAACAGATACGGAAGATTTCCACTATAAACAGGAGCGGATGGATCCTAAATTCAAAATAGAAGAATCCACAAACGCGATACCAAGGTCGTCTCAACTGCCTGTCAGCCGTGGTTCTTGTACGAAAGACAGAAATAACTAAAAATACTCGAGCTACTTACCAATAGCGAGTAGTATAAGATAAAAACGAAAATTACAGACAAGAAGATGACGTCTCACAATCAATTGGCCAAACATGGTTACACAGACTTACTTTTATCAAATTCCATTTACGTCGGGCAGATAATTTGCACAACTCTTCATAACTTTTCAGGGCAGTTTGTCTGTCAGGAGCCTCCTCGGCGGAAATTAGACAGTCTTTGTCCAAGCAATCACTGATGATAAAGAAAGGTGAAAATATGAGACTGAAGTGGAAGCTAAAAGCTTTACAACGTACGTATATGAAAACTACTCATTAGTTGAGGAAACGAATTGGACCACAAAACTACATCATCTGAATAGTAACTGCTAACCACGAAGTTCTTTTGAACTGCTGTTTTCAAAGGAAAGACATTTTTCTACTTTGCTTTTCAAAAATTCACTCTGAATTCTTATATGAAAACACTTAAATATCGGTTATTAAAACGAAAATGATTATCCACAGTGTTTATTTAGGCGCTGGAAGCCTTCCTTCCTAGATAAATGAAGAATATTTATTTCAGAATCTTAAGAAAACGAATGACGTGTCCCAAATATTAGACCTATAGGAACTAGCTTATTTGACAATGTTTTAAATAACTCAAATGCTAAATATTTGTTACAAAAAGGTGAAACACATTTTATCATGTGTTATACCCATTGATTTATTCTGAACACAGAAGACAGCTTAGTACAGTTAGGCTTAGAGGAATCCGTCAAATGAAACGAAATGATATACTGATAACAAGAACAAAAATATCACACTGAACAAAGTCAATGCGAAGTACAACTAAGATACATTAAATTCCGCACAGATTTGTATACTATCGTACCTAGTTCTTAGTAGACTTTTAAGTTTGTAAGTACTTACAAGAATATACCTTCAATGATCCTGCCTTGATGTGGTATAGGAACTTTCGTTCCATACTACATTGTATGGACTGAACTAATTAAAAAACCGATTAATGTCAGTTGTTTATAATGCCAACAAGTGAAACTCGTTTCGTGACAGTCTGTTGATCTGATAGTAGTTAAATGATAATAAGAAAAATAATGAAAAATTTTGAAGGATGAAATTCAAACAGGAATGCAGTTAAGATATGTTTTATTTATTTGGTACATCATCTTCTTACTTAGGAAAAACCTAACAAAAACTGGGAGAGGATCTTCATTGTCTTTCATTTTAAGCTATGTATGATAACATATTAAACAACTAGGTTATATATCTAGGACCCCATTAACGGAGTTACGACTAGCCAACCGTTGTTAACCCAACACAGTTACTGTCTGTTTCACAGCACCATATTCTAAACTGACCACCCTCACTCTTTCCAGTCAATTCCAGAAACGACTGGTGATGTGTGGTATAAAAGCCACAGTAACGATATGTGTAAAATTTGACCAAGTTACTGAATCCCTTTCTTCTAGATCATGATGCTTTCTAGATCGCCAACGATTGCCTAAACACACGTTATCATCCCATTACAATCACGAACCACACAGCTGCTCAGATAAACAAACATCTGGGCTATTAGCGAAGATTCATCAATAAAAGCAAATGATAGAACAGAAGCCTCCTGGTCTAGCAGACATTCATCACACTTCGATGGTGAAAAGTCGTTATAATATATGGATCACCAAATGACTAGTTTCGATTTGGCCAGTGCATAAATTATTTCACTGTAAAGAGGTTTAATACACACACACACAACGTCAACGGTCTTCCTCTTGACAACAGACATTACTAAGATGCAGTTCTTGTAAAATCCTTTCCAGAATATCAGAATTAAACCATCAGGATCAAAATTGAAGGATACAAATGATTCTCATAACTTGATTCTAAAATATGGGACTTCACAGAGACACATAAAAGGGGTTGTACAGCGCTCACATTCTTCACTTACATAGCCACAAGGAATTAATAACGGAGACACTGACTATTCTTAAAAATATCTTAGCAATGTAATGCCACAGCATATTCATCGGCACATTGTGACAATGATATTATCTCCTTTCGATTGCCAGAAGACCATCTCGACACAACAGCACACCAAAGCAGAGTTTATATATATTAACTAGCTTAAAGCAAAATGTCAGCCTGATACCAAGTTAAGTGTAAAAGCATACTGCTTGAAGATTACGCAAAATTGATTTATTAACCTTTGATGAAGCGATATGGATTGGCGATGCAAACCATCTCTAACTAATTGAACAAAGTCGGGAAGATGAAACTGGAAAGAATGCATCATGAAAATTAACTGACCTATTGTTAACAGAAACACCAGTACATCTCCTTTGGAAAGCGACATTAATCAGATCGATGGACTGGTCATCAGGAACAAATCTACAGGGGAATAACAACATGCAGAGTACACTTGTTTGCAGAAAATAACCTAATACGCTGAAACATGATAACCAAATAATTAATCATAAAAAGTTTCAGATGCCCAAATAATTATCTACAATGACTAACAACAAGTTGCTAAATTCGATAGCACAAATTAATAAGCCCGTGGTACAGATAAAACACTTACGTGTTTGTGAAAGTTAGTCTGATTTCATCGAACGTAAGGCTTTGCAAAATGATCACTGAAATTAATTGACGAGTAAATGGTGTGTCTTTCCATTATCAAAGATCTGAGTTTACTCAATATCTGTATCAGTGCAGTAAAGAAATGAAAGAAGAGAACTAATAGTCTAAATAGATAGCTATAGGTAGCCTGTACACGATTTACAGTTTAAATTCAGAAGGAGCATATCGGGAATATAACCACAAGCATTTCCAGAATTCGAAGTCTGTATCTTCAGTTAGTCAGTAATATACAACGTAGAGGTTAAGACATGTGTATATAGGTTCAAGTTACCGTATCTTACTTCATAGTAAGATAAAGTGTATTTTCAACTGTTTGCGTTAGAATTAACACCACAGCATAGCCTGCTAGTATTAGTATATTTGATTAAAATTTCGTTACACCAATGATACGTTGAGAAGGCTACATTTCCAAAACAATCAAGAGTCCAAATACTAGTAAATTAAGATGATTTTAGGATGTTACGTTTTGTAAGAACTCAGCATCATTAAACAAGTAAATTAGTAGTAAAATTAAAAATTTGAGATAAAGATAATTCAGTGAAGGAAACTTCTTCCTGACGACATCATTTCCTGAAACTGTATGACTATATCTCTCATCACTTAACAAATTCTGATCACGTCCCACTAGAATTACATTTCAAAATTATTTACATAGTCAAGTGAATAAGCTCTAAGGGAGTACGAACTAAAAATGTGCCCAACCTAGAGGCTTTACAAAATCTCTGTCCAAAACAATCAAGTGTAATCTCTTATTTTACTACACCCCTAGCATCTATTCCATCTTTTTCTCTTGTTTTGTTTTACAAATTAGTTAGTTCTCATAGTTCTCGCAAATTTTTGTAACCACTATTCAGCCGCTATTATCACCACGCACTTTATTTCTTTCTCACACTTGTCAAGTGAACAACCATCACACATACTTCTTCCTGACCCGTAATTTTTTTAAATTCTACTCCTGTACTTTGATCTTTGAACCATTTCTGTGGTAGGTCAAGTTTCGCACAAAATAAGATAATCTATTTTTCAATAGATTAATATATTTATTAGATCGCCAAAAATATTGTCGTAAGGCTTCAGTAGATGAGATCGTCAAAAGAAAAATTCCTTACGCTGGTTTGTCTTCATATCACTTTCATTAAAATGAAAAATTAACAACAAAACTTGGGATAATACTTATACAACCCAGTAATATCTTTATTAATCGGTGGCATCTCGTTTACTCTCAAAATTTATGAATCACAATGACTTTAAACACACAAATTATCTACAGATTTAATAACCAAGTATAAGTTTCTATAATTAGCTCTGGGTCACACTATTATATGAGGAATAGTGATACTATCCAGTTAACGAATCCGAATTCAGTAAAGCAGGGTTCAAGCCTTTAATTCGATAGTTGAAGAAGTTGAATATAAGTTTGCTTAATATGTTTACAACCTAAAACCTTGTGAAATTCACTCAATGTCGACGGATTTGTGAGCGAAAATGTAAACAACATCCTGCTGCGCCAATTGAATTAGAAATGATTGAGTGGAGTAACACTAACAGTTTCAGGTTTTTATATGATGTAGCTGTTTAGTTATTTAATTTTTTACACTAATAGTTCTTAATTATTTCACTTTATGTAAACTATAAGGATTGTCGTGGCAACAAATACTAGCAATTTTTCAAATTTGAAAATGAATTCCCATTTAGGGAGAAAAAACATACCACATGAAAAAGTGATGTGTAACTGACAGACCTGTCAAGTAATGCTGCGATAACAGATGAGTCTAGACCGCCACTAAACAGTAAACCGAATAAAGAACCTGACCGATTATCGTCCAATACATCAGATACATTGAAAGAGTAATTTGTATCATATAGCAAGTCAAAGTTAACTGAATCGTGTATAACAGTAGATAATAAATCCAAAAACTTTTGTTGTACTTCTTTTAAAGTTGTGGGTATACACATATTTGTAGAAAGGCTATTACAATGAGTTTGATTTACATTCAAAACTCTATTAACTTTAAATGGGATATTTGAAGGGCACAGAAGTAAATGTTGTTCAGACCAAGGATATAGATTAATATCTGAGAGAAAAACATTCCCATTGTCACAGACGATTTTCGATACAAATATTCCACAAGCAGGTATTTCAAACCAATCCTTTGCATCTTTTTCCTAAATAAAAATTATTTCAACTGATTGAAAAGTATGAATTAGTTATCATTTATCGCAAAATAAAAAAATAACCACATGACAAAAAAGAAAGGGTAGAAAACAATCTGGTATCTGAATACACATAGATACTTAAATGCAGATTTCATCCATTGAAGGACAATGAAATAAAGCTGTTGACTAATATATGTAATTGCTGATCAACTAAATCAGAAGCAAGCCTATTTATCCAGCTTATGGAGATCCAAAAAAAGAAGATCGTCTTGCGAAGTTCATAAAAAATGAATCCGGACTGATTAGGATGTGGGAACATCGATTCTACCTGCCAGTTTGTAACATTTCTAAGCTGGCTTCGTTTACAATTATGTCATCACTTTTTCTACACGTTCACTTAAATGCTCTAAGGCAAATTAGGGAACTTTTAAACAAAAATATGTGAGGTTTTCTACTACGCTTTCAGTTAATAAGCTGGATGAACATTTGGAGATTTAGACTTAAAGTATCTATTATTTTAGGAAATTGAACGGAAAATAATAAAATCAAAAATGAATACAAACATTGAAGACACGATAATGGTGAAAACAGAACATTAAAGTAGCAAAGTCCACTGTTGAGCAGTTACATAAATAAATTAGCTTACAAGGGAATCCAAACTAATTTCCGGAAAAGAAGACTGGCTTGGAATAACAATACTTGAAACTGAATCGATACAAAATAATTCACTAGGTAGTCCTGAAAACTTTCTGGCAACAAGAGAATGACGACCGAATGGATCTCGAGTGAAATAAACCATGTGTGATTCGACCTAAACGTTTTTAAATGGTAAGTATTGACTATAACTTACGCTAACAAATATAAGTACAAAAGAACCAATCAAAGAATTGATTAAATTAACAACAGCATTTACGTTCTTTTCCTTAGAAAATGCATCTAGTAGAACCTGACCAATACTGATATTCTCAGAGTCAAAGTGTTTTGCAAGAGTTATATCGCTTGATGAGCGTATTTGGCCGGAGCAGAAAAGGATGTTGCATCCTGTATTAGATTGAATTAGAAATTGATGTGCATTTTTTGCAAATGGATCATTAAATGCAAAAAATGAACTAAATATTGAAATCCATCCCCTGGAAAGTCGTGCAGCTTTCCAATAGCTTGTTTCGATAGTGTGATAAAATGTTGAAGAAATATTAGTGCTTAAAACATCTTGAAGTTCGACTGCATTCAGATCTCTGACCTGTATAAATTTGACAGAGAAATGTAACGATAAGATATAGACATCAAATAAGTGTATTTGTAACCTGATTAAATGAGAAAAGGATACGTTCATGCGAAAAAAATTGGACTAATAACTTCCAAAGCTACTTGTGCCTTCAAACAACCTTTTGAAAATCATGGCCAAAAGATAAGCAGGCTCAAGTTATTTTACACAAGACTAGACTACTTACCGATTTATGTTCATCTAGTGCTAACATATTTATTTATTTAAACACAAATACAATCATAATAAGGGACCAAAAACACCTCACAAAATAAGGGTAATATTGAGGATGGCGGAGCCTCCCAATGCCCTGGTACGGCCAACAGTGGGGAGAGTTTGCTCTCCCTCTCGAAATGCCCTCACATGGTCACGTGCATACAACCACTGCCAGAGAAATCGTACTCACGGGAGTGTTGTATACGAAACTGAGAGGATGAAAAGCGAATGCCCGGCGCTTTGACCGGTTTGATGAATATGGAGGATCCACCTAAGGGAGTTAAAAAAACCCTGATATCAAACCGATAGTGAACATAGGCCACAGGATCCTGAGGGAACAAATGGAGTACGAACCAATTGTTGGTCACCGGCTACCATGGGACTGCATCTGACGTTGCTCCACTGCCTTGTGGATCATACCTTTAGGTCGAGGGTTCTGGGTACCTAGGCAGTATTAAGGCCCACACCCAAATTAAGTGGCTTGTGTGGCGCATATGTATTCAGTGCCCCTTTGTACCAATATTTGTGTTCACATAAATAAATAAAGAATGATGGTGACCTTCTGGATATTAAACTGGCTGAGTTGTTTGCAAAGGTTTAAGAATTAAAGTGATCCGACACCATGGAATGAGCCAATAGCTGTCTCTATCTTTAGAAATGTTTGCGTCACTCATGTATTAACTATCGAGGGATAATTCTACTTCAGGCTGCGTCCAAATTTATGGCTTCCGCCATACTTCGCTTAGGAAAGGTTGACTCGCGAAGAGCAGGTTGGTTCTCGTTCTGAACGTATATGTATTGATCATATTTTCACCCTCACCGAATATTAGGGCGTCACCATACTTATTCCATGCCAACAACCGTTGCGTTTCTTGACATCAGGGCCGCCTTTATTCTGTTGGACAGAGATGTACCTCAGAATCGTCTATTTAAGAGGTGTCCCTGAGAAGTTTATTAACATCTCGAAAATCCTATATACAAATACTTCAGGGAGAGTGAGAGCATACATCTACCTCTCTCCATTGCTTCATTCAAGCAGCAGGGTTAAATAGGACCGATTAAACGATTGTACTCTCTTAATAATGACCGTTTTGAAGCAGGTGAGAAATGTGTGCATACGAGTAGGTAAGTGCCGGTGGTGACTTTGGTGATGAGATCAATTTAAGTATACCGAATTCCAGAGAGGTTTATGCCAATTTAGGTCATCTTTGGTGTGATCTAATGTTTTTCTGACAAGTTACTATAAGTCAACAGTCGCAGCTTGACGTTGTAGAACAGTCAAGACACTCAATGGAGCTTAAAGAGTAGTTTAACTACACAGGCTGATAGCGAATTAGATAGGTATTTAGAAGTCAAAATGTTTGAAGGTAGTTGAGTGAGATCGGATTACTGAGACAAGCTGCAGAAACGTAACTAAAAAACTTTTCAAGTGTAATATGATTTTAATGAGCCTTAGTAGGATGGCTAACATAGGAAGAACGCGAGAGAAAATAGAATAATGACAAATAAATGTATGTATGAGCATTCGAAGGAGCCAGGACTCCTCCCAATGAAAAGCAAGATCGGAATCAAATCTGTTTTTGGCTAAGTAATCCTTAAGCAATTGCTTAAACGTATTTAAACCAAAGCAAATAGAAACCTGAGAAATAAATGCAATTTGTATACTACGCGAAATTAATATCAAACTATATACTTCTCTTCAGCGTTAACATTAAATTATTTACCTTCCCCAAATATTAACCCATTAAATAGCCAGCTTTTCGCAAAACTTAATGGACTAGTTCACTACCACCCATATACTTAGGAAATTCGACTGAATTACCTCAGAGCAACCATATTATTGGAGCACTCAACAAGTCAAAGTAGTGGTTTATTTAAGGAAAATTTATCAACATTTTTTGCATGAACAGTTTTCAACAACAGTTACATATGAGTGACAGCTAAACAACATTGTTAACTTTCCCCGAAAAATTTACACTGTAAGCATTAATGAATATTCGTAATTTTACTTGATGAAAATGCTACTAAGTACTGATTCCTCCTCACATATACATGGAGTAAACTTTTCAAAATATTTTGATCCACTTGCTAACTTTTAAATACCTCAGAATTTTCTGAACAGTGGGAAACGAAAAGACCGAAACTCAGCATGAGCCAAATTTCTAAATATTGCTTCTCAGTGACCTGAAGGTCATAGCAAAATTATTCATCTCTGACGTAACTAAATATTATTTTAAACTTTCGACTTTTTTATCAGTGACCAACAAGAAACTTCTTGAACCATCTTTGCAGGTTTCTGAAAATTCGCAACTTTTCTATCTCCATTGGAGATTTTGTATGATTTTCTTAAGGGATTAGCTAGAGTAATAGTAGATTGTATCTTCAGTGTCTTCGTCACGGGCTAGCATAAACCGATTGAGTTCTTGGCTCTTGCTTCTCGTCGTTTCGGTACGGTTCCAGATATTTGATGAGTTTTAAATAGGTGGCGGTTTTGTTACTCGATTGCACTAATTCTAGTCAGTTCGATAGTTATTTGTGTATCTGAATATCTCGTAGTGTGGTCGAGTACGATTGTCTCAGAATAGTGAAGTTTCTGAGTATCAATAGTCATCACTTCACCAGGTTATAGGTTGCTTGACTACAATGTGAAAGTAATAAAGTGATTATTTCAGTTCTAAGAGAAGACTGTTTCAAGAATGATAAATAAGTCTATTAGTTGCTAATAGGTAAAAAGTTGGAAGACACAGTAAATAGTTACTGATATAAGCATATGATAACCGCACTAATTTGTGAAACGTACATCAGGTAAAAGTGGTTCAATAGAGTGATGGTAATTTAAGGGTAAGTAAGTGTTTGTCAAGTCTCCTCTTGAAGCTGCCCACTAGTGGGGTTGTGGTCACTTCAGCTGACAAGGCATTTAAAAGGAGGGTAACTTTAAGTGGAAACAATCGAGGTCGTAATTGAGTATTTTCTTTTTGATATTCAATTTTTCGGGGGTTGCATTGAGGAAAGTGATGTTGGTGTTCTGATAATATGCTCGTGGGGATTTTCCATCTCTGCCTCATATCATGGCGCCACCCACATGTTCAGTCATTCCTGAACTTTTAGTGGCTGTGGTAAGCTGCTTATGAGACCACTCTGTAGAGGTGTATCCTGTTTTCTAAGTTTTGGGCATGGAGTATGGAAATCTTTAGTTAGTATTATTTGGTCAGATACCAGGTGTGACAGCTTTAATATACCCAGTATTGCCTCATCTTTTGCGGTGTTCGAACCTTTGGGAGTCAGTATATTCCTCCAATCATGTAATCCGTCCTGCTCTCATTGAGGCAGCAAAGTTCTGTCACCTCAGCTAATTCGGTACTGTGTGTTGTCAAAACTTAATGTGTCTGTTAATGTATTTCTCCTTTCCACTTCGTGTCTGATATGACGAAAGCCACATTTCAGCTAAGAATTTGATAGTCATATTGTTATGACCTTGAATCGCTTTTACCCCGTCGATATTTTGTTATGACTTGAGCTTGATCTGTCTAGTCTAGAATATGACCTTGGCGCGATAGGCTGAGCGGGTTAACCTTGAGTCTAGTACGCGTGAGTTCGAGATGGGATAGGGAGAGAACTATTCTAGAACCTGATTAGTTGGCAAGCATGCAAGTGAGAGAAGACAAGACAGTTAGAACACTGAATTCTGAATTCTCTGAATTCGGATTAGTGAAAAAATGTACATGAATAAATAAGTGAATATCCTGACCACAACGTACGATAATTTGGCAAAATACAATTGTGCCCGAAACTGGGAATTAGGGTAGAAAATAAGATACAAAATATTATGTTTAAATTACAATATTTTCGGAACAAAAAAGGGTATGGCAGTGAATGTTACATAGAACGAAAGCTCGTTATGTAGAATAAAATAGGGACAAAAATAAATATAAGTGTTTTACAAGGTTTGAATGAAATGAAATAACGTCCGAAGAAAATAGCTTTCGTAGTTGTCTGGGCTTCTTATTTCCCCGTTCACAACACATATCTGACTGAAAGCATACAATTCGGATTGATCCTAATTTACTCCTTAGTCTTCTTACGTTGCTATAAGGTCACTTGATAATTTATCTCATCATATGATGCTCCACTACAGCAGCGTCTGTCTTCTGGGTCTTAAGCAGATTGTTATTTAAAGTGTGTGAGATTTTTGTCTGTATATTGCGTTTCATTAGAGGGACAGTGGTCTTTGCGTTCTGTACCGTGAGTTGCTGAATAAAATCTACTGACCCAAAGATATGCTTCATGGGGCTATTCTGCTGTTGCATTACCAACCAAGGTCGGCCTCCGCGACATCTGATGCGATTGGAGGGGTCTTATCAAGAATATGCTAGGCCTGAATGACCTCCGTTAAGTTCTCTCGACTTCTGAAGTTTACAGCCTTCGGACGCGAAGATTTCATGATCATGGAGTACGACGGACGAGGTTGCCTGGACGCACTAATCGTCGTAATGGTGCGAAGGCCTACGCCACGTGATAGCCGACGTCTGCATTAGTGAGATCCAGTTCGAATATAATTTACCAGCTCAAGCACTCCATGAATTACTTTGTTTGTTATTTATTGGTTATCTGGTGAATTTACAGCTGTTTTTGTATCCAACTTGGATCTGAGAGGGTTCTTCACACAGTGGTCTCTGAGATAACCTCTGTAGCGTGTGCTGAATCCAAAGTTGCCCCCAGTTAAGAGAGCTTGTCTTTTGCTACGTTTTGGCCCTTATACAAGCAGCAAAGCCTGACTAAAGTAAAGTCCTTTCCCAACATTGTATGTCAGCCATTGTAAATGGCTGGCAAACTTTCTAATAAACTGCTCTCCGACATCGGGACACTAAATATAGTGAGAGAGGTTCATCGTCTTCAATTTTTAGAGTTTTGAGAGCTTTGTTTTCCCCACTTCCCTTCTCACTGCCCACTTTCTGCTCCTCATTGTAAACAGATTTAAAGGTATGAGTTGTTGCGCCCATAGTCGCGTGTTTATTTCAGCCTGTGTTCGACGATCTCGATACACCTTTGGGGGTTGATACGATTGCTTCCAGTGGAGTCTAGGGTTTCTCCTTCTGTAGATTCGTTAGTGTATTTTTTCTACACTGTCAGATAACGTACCAGAACCACGAACGGGTGTGGCTTACCATAACCATGGTGCTGCTTGAGTACTAAGGCATCATGGCGGAAGCGAACCCGGCTACCGCAGAACTTGTGATCAAATTCTGAAACGCTAACTAACATGCTGTACAATGGTTGTTTTTGTGCTGTTTCTACCCAGTAATCAGGACAAACTGCAAGTTAGTACACCATTTTCTCCTTTTGTGTTAATTAGTCTTATCAGAAAAGGGGACCTGGGAAAGAGTGTGGTTCAAATTATTTGGTTTGAGATTCAGTTTTGGTGTCTGAGTTTAGTGATCCATCTAGTACATATTACTATGAAGTTATTTAACTGGTGTCATTTTGAGCTTTCTTGGAACCCTATTGCTAGAAATGGAAATTTTTGAACTACTATTAACCACTGAACTTAGACCTTCACCTCTTCTAATCGTCCTTGTAGTTATAATGTAAGTACTGGTGGAAGCGCTATTGCTGTGCATGCTACGTAATAGAACGGAAAATGGAATGAGGATCAAAGTTTTGAAGGGTCAAAATTATTGAGATAACGGATTATGTACCACATGAGAATAAACCCTGAGAGTAACATATCCACAAGTGTCTACTGTCTTTCTATCTATTCAGTATCAGCATGCTTCTCGTGGCTGGCGAATTCTCATGTTATGTGCACTATCTGACAAGCAGAATACATAACTATCACTATCCTTAATTCGAATAAAACAGGGAACAAATGGCAATATGTTGAAAACTAAGTAGACATAATTTTCCTTTCATAGTCACACAGCTCTAGATTGTTGATAAATTGTTTGAAACTGCAGATTTAATCAGGATTCGGTTCGTTCAAGTAGTCATATTGAAAATACTGATCCTGTTCAGCTCTAACAAGATCCATTCACTTGACTATCTTTAACATGCCTAAGATGCACTGCACTGAAGTCTAAACAGAACATCACAACTGTTCATTAATTGAACTGCCTTTATGATATTTATTTAGAGTCGGCTGTCAAACGATGTCCTTGAGTATATTGTTGCATCATGCCCAATGGTTCTCTATCTCATAGCAACCAATGATACACTTCATACCGGTGATCTTTTTACTGACAAACTCCTTTGTCCCTGATTCTTGGTTTGGCTGGGTTTAAAATCATTCGATTATGAAAATATGGAAAATATCTAAACGTCCTCGAAAATTCTCCACGAACCCAACCATAGTTTTCGTATATGTTTTTATTCATACATCCAACTGTTACGCTAATAATACCTAAACGAACGTTCAGTGCAACTGTCAGTATACGTAAGAACGATGTTATTTAGACTTAACATTGTAACACATCCGAACTATTGTAGTTATTCTACTTTGTCGTCGTACTTTATTTCATGAAGTATTGTTTCCTCGTGGCTGTTATCTAACAGAGGATTTCGGTACATCAATCGGCTGTTCAACTACTCGACGATTTAAAACTTGTCCCGTTCAGTTAGTGGTCTGACAACAATATTATTCGCGCGAATCATCAGTTTATGCAGTCGAGCAAATCTCCTGCAAACTGAAAACGATATTGTCGCCTCTATCCCAACACTGACAGCGTTTTTCACGGTTTTATTGACATGAGTCCAGAGTGACACTCTTGGTTTCTTATGTTCTTTTCGATATTTTTCTGTTCACTTACCGAACAAACACGCAGCACTCACCGTTAATAATCTTTTAGAGACTGCATCGTGCCACGTTTGTTGTCGATTTGTAGCCTTCGAACCTTACTGACTGTAGCAGCAGTCATCGACTTTTCAAACTCTGACTACAAGTTGGTCAATAGATTCGCACAACGAAATCACGACCACTCTTCACGGTTATACTTCTGTACTTACGGTTAGTCTGTTAGATATAGATATAACTAGAATTCGACACTAATTAATAGCTATCAACGACACTGTCCGACTTACAAATTTAATTATCAGAATGTGTTTTGTGGAGATTTTTAGAAATTTTCACAGATTGAACTCATGAGTCAGTTGAAGCTAGACCATTGAAAACCTGGAAGCACTGGACGGCCGTTTCGTCCTAGTATGGGACTCCTCAGCAGTGCGCATCCACGACCCCGCACCAC